CTTTCCTGGTTGCTGAGATGAAAGTGGGTGACAAAATGCACTCGCTTTCCGAACACACACAGACAGTCTCTCGACAATATGTGTTTTTGCTGGCTGTAGCAGCGCCACAGCGATGAATAGCAAAAACGCATAAAAAGTAGTTGAAGGTATGGCTGAATTTAGAGATTGATATTTTGGTCCGGAAAGTGTAAATTTGGCTGATGCCTAACAGCTTCGGAACCAAAAATCGCGCAAAATTGCATTGTAGATCTTAGCGACGGTAATCTGAGGTAGACGTAATTGTGCGGGAATATGCCCGAGTCCTAGACTGAGAACTTTTCGGGAAATGCCTTTTTCTAAGTACCAGACCGCTGAGTTATCGGTTTGGAGTTTTTTTGCAGTGTGTCACAAATAAATATTCCAAAAACTTACGGTAATCTTTTCTTTGCTAAATAAATAATAAGCCGTTCACAAAATGGGCAGAAGCGCATGCTGTACAAACGCATTGTTCCTGGTCCAGAATACGGTTCCGGTGCACCTGCAAAAAATACAGATTCGTTGTTTTCTAATGAAAGTATTCCCAGGGGCAACTCCGTGTTTGAATCCACCACCGAGAAGAACGATCCTTTTGATCTGTCGAATTATTTTGATGGTAAATTGGTACTGGCGCATGCTAAGGAATTCGAACCGCCATTAGCTTGCTTCTGAGCAACCATCGAATAAGGAGCTCTTGCCAGTGGTTAGTTCTTATTAGCAGTACTCTGCCTACGAAATTCTTTCCAGTAACTTCACTCTTCACAAGAACTGTACTGTACGAAGTTTCAAAGCTGAATTCATAAAGAGTTTTTTAAGTCTGAGTTGTTTTTAGCTGAAAATTTTACCATAATTCTTTTAAGGAACAAGTGATTAGTGGGAACTGAGTGAGGGTAACAAAAGATTTGCTGAATCCTGCAAAAATTCTTAAGATTTTATTGATAAACTAGTCCACTTTGTGCTATTTATTTCCTACGGATAGTTTTCCCATGTTTATTAGATGTATGGAGCAAAGCTTTAGTGCAGAATCAAATTTATCATTTTATGGGTTTTTATGGTGACTGTAATGCAGTGGTGATTTTTGAGTTTTCAAAAATACTGGGCGAATAAAATTTCGAACGTTTTGCGCAACAAGCAGACGACTAATTCGAACGACGTTTTAACAACATCTGTGGATTAAATGCTCCCTGTGCTGCCTAAGTCCCACAGTATGCTGCGTGTAAAGTGATAAGATCGCAGACAATGCTGTTATATTGAAATGTATGGAAATTTACAACTATAAAAAGCTGCATGTGATTTACTGGTCATAAAATCTGAATAATTTGCTGCCATGAGCGGATCGAGAGGGAATCGAATTTCTTATCTTCACTATCTCCGGATTTCACCTCGCGATGTGTTGCCAATACAAGACTGGCACGTTCGCTCAGTTTACAAATAAAATTCACTTGGAACACGCGTAAACAAGGCCTTGACAGTATGCATCCTTTGCAACTGCTGCAGCGAAAAGCGCTTAAAAAGCTCCGTTTCCAAAAGCATTTCAAGAAAACAACTTGAAAAATCCGAGGTACGCATGTAAGCCACTAGGCTACAAACCTTGATGCAGAGTTGGCGAGTTCATGCCTCGGATATTGATAATCATCGAAGACAGCTGCATATTACCAGCGCCATACCAAGCACCATCATTTGCTGGTGCTGTTGGACTGACAAATGGTGCCTGAGTTGAGGCGCTCGAGTATACTCGATATACTGAGAGTAATCCTGGTGGCACCGGTGCATCGTTCACTGCTTCATCTTGCTGCACTAATAAGAATTCGGTTTGTTAGCAGATGCACAACAGCACTAACAAGAAATATGACATTTTCGTAGATTTGCAAACTTTTCTAAACGCAAGTGAAATTGGTTTACTGAGGGGCATAACGATATGCTTTTATGCATTTTTGCATATTTGCAAATTGCGAAAACGCATATTGGGAAGAGGCTGTATGTTTGTGTGTGTCTGTGCGTTCGCACTTTTTGTCACCCACTTTCAATTCGAGAAACAAAAAAGATAAAAGGCTAAAACTTTGGGAGTATGTGGCATGCAGTGTGCGACACTCCCTTTTTAATTTCATCTCCCCGCTAATGTCTGATTGCCGCGTACGGGCGCTTTAAAAAAATATGCAAATTTTTTGGCTGGAAAGTGATTTCGGAAACCACGTGGGCTAAGGGGCTGGAACTTTGCAGAGAAATCCCCTGTACATGTGATAGCTAAAGTTTTCAAATTCTGCTCCCAGGTATGCGTAGTACTCATGTAAAGGCGCGTGAAATTTTTAGTAGGAAAACAGCTAATTCGGGCAGCAGGAAAGCTAGAAAACTGAAACTTTAGCATAATGTTCCCTGTTCAAGTACAACTCAAATATTTCAGACTCAACCCCAAGCTATGCGTGGTACTCATGTAAGAGCGTATGAAAGTTTCTTCGGAAAATCACTTACTCGGGGATCAGGAAAGCTAGAAAGCTGAAATTTTAACGTGATGTTCCCTGTCCACATGCAATTTAAAAATTTCAAGTTCAGC